CTGGGGCTGGCAGTGGCGTCGGGCTGTCCGGGCAGGGGGTCGGCCACGGCGGCCGCGGGGCCCTGGAGGCTCTGGCCGCACACGTGGTGGTGCTTCTCCCAGTCCTTGTGCTGGCAGAAGGACCCGCAGTAGCGGGCCGCGTTGCAGCCGCTGCAGGTCTCGCTGGCCTTGCGCCCGCAGTTCCAGCAGCTCTGGGGGTGGAAGGGGCAGAGGGGACAGTCGGGAGGGGCAGACCCCAAACGCCCCCTAACCCGGCCGGCAACCCCAAACTACAGACCCTGCCTCGGCCCCGGGGGCCGACACCGTGGCGGTGGGCGGACTGCTCAGCCGGCCACGTTCTGGGGAACAGGCGGTGGCAGAGCAGGACCCTCGCCCCGTGTTTCTTTTGGGGGCTGTGGGACAGAGAGGCCAAACTTGTCCCAGGAGTTAAAGCCCACGTCTCCACTTGGCCTCCAAAGCCTCTGGCCTCCTGCGGCTCGTGTCCCTGGCCTGTGCTGTCCTCTGCTGGGCGGCGGCCACGCTGACCCTGCGCCCCTCTGTGGGTCCGCTCGGCGGCCACCTGCCCAGTCTTCCCTGGCCCCTCCACCTCCTCGGGGCCAGGGCTGCCGTCATTCTGTGAATGCTGTCTTTCCGCGTCCTTCCTCTCCTCTCCGGCTAGCTCTAGCCTGCGTCTCCACAGCTGTGTCCAAAGATCTAGAGCAGAGGAAGGACTGGCTGGGCTTCCTCTCCTGACCCAGACCCCCGGGGCCGGCCCGGGCCGAAGCCATGCAGGGTTTGGAGACCTGCCCTGTCCTGAAGTGCCACGGACGTCCCCGGGAACGCCTCTCCTCACTCATGTCACAGCCGGCCAATTTCCTGGGCAGGACGGGATGGGCAGTCTTCTTACCCCCACCCAGCTGGGCAGAGTCCAGCACAGATGCCCCTGCTCCCAGACCACAGCTCTCACCCTTCCTACTCACATGCGCCCACCAGCGTGGGCTGGGAGCCCAGAGGGATGTAGACCCTGGGGTCCCCACATCTCAAAGCGTCTGCTTTCACAAAGTAAAGAAGAGCCCAGTAGTCCATGCCAGGACCAGGCCTCGGAGAAGCCGCCTGCCCTCTCGGCCCTCAGGGAGGCCATGGGGTCTGCACGGACAAGCACTGTGGGAGAGGTGGCAGGTGGGGCGTGCCCCACGGCCCAGGGTGACCGCGGGTGGGGACGGCCCCCGTTCCCCGGGTCACACAGGCTGAGCTCCAGCCCAGGCTTCCTGACCGCAGTGGCTCTGGGGACCTGGCCGGCAGTCCTACCTCGCTGGAGTCCTCCTGCTGGTTGATGACGGTCAGGGCGTCCTCCGAGGCCTGCCGCTTGGCCTCGGCCAGTGCCCGCTCCATCTTGGCGCGCTCGGTGGTGATGAGCTCGTGGGCTTTGCGCTCTGCGTCAGACACGGCTTTCTGCAGCTCCGACATCGCCTGCCGCTTCACCTCATTCACAGCCTCTTCTGCAAAACACATGGAGGGCTGTGGTCAAACATCAGCCCACCCTGGTACCCGGGCCACCGATGCCCTCTGGCCAGGGAGGAGCCCGCGTGCACATCTGACCCCTGCTGACACGTGCACCGCGCCACAGGCCCGCAGCGCGTCCTGAGCACAGGTGTAGTGTGGTGGCACAAGGAACAGAGATGTACGAGTGCGCCGGAGCTCAGCCCGCACCTTGCCGGACTGGTTCTAGCTCTGGGGCTCCCTGGAGGCTGGGGCACCCACCCCGGAACCTGACCCCACCGCCAGGGAACCTGCGTGCCAACAAGCTCAGGCCGCTGGCTGGGGGTGGGGCCTCTGAGCAGCACAGCCGTAGCGTTGGCTTCACTGGGGACACACAGCGGCAGCCAGGAGCAGCCCTTGTCAGGGAGCTAGTTTCCAGGGAGGCTCCCTTTTCACGTCTGTGTCAGTGGCTCTGATTCCAGTTCCTGGCTAGGCAGAGCCAGGGCAGAGTAGCCTGGCCGAGGGGGCAGAGACCCTGAGGGACCTCTACCCACCACCGGCCCTGTCTGCAGACTGGAGGGTCAGGGCCAAGGCTGAGGACCCAAAGCCTCAAACAGACCGGCCCGGGCCTTGTTAACCCCCCACAAGGCCTCTGGGGCCCGCCTCAGTGTATCCCGCGTGGAGAGAGGCTGTGAAGGCCAGCCGCAGCGGGGTGTCCGCGGCACCCCAGGAGAGTCTGTACCCCACGGTGAGCGAGCAGCTAGCAGGGCCTGGAGGGCCCAGTCTACAGGTGGCAGCGCCACGCCGGTGCCGGCACGCGTCCCACAGCCCCTCCCGGGGATAAGGTAGCTGCACGCCGAGCCCGCCCTCCCATGTGGCTTCTGCCCCTCAGCCGCCCCAACATCCGCCCCAGACCCTCCCTCCCCTGGCTTTTCTCCCCGCCACGCTTCACACAGAATCCACAGAAGCTCTGCTCCCCCTCACCTGAGCTCAGCCCCAGCCCAGGTGGGCGCTCCTCTTCCTCACGGCGCCAGCCAAGCCCCATGGACCCCTTGTCTAGATGCCCTCCCTCCCCGGCGTGCTCGTGAGCACGCGCGCATGCGCCCTTCCGTGTGTCTGCCCTCGCTCTGCCGTGTGAGGAGCCGGTGGAGCGCCAGGTGCGGACGGGTGCTCCTCACCCCAGCGAGGGAGGGGCGCTGGCCGCCACAGCCCCGTCCCTCCCCGTCCCTCCAGCCCCCACTCACCAGCCTTCCTCCAGATCTCCTCGGGCACATAGCCTGAGAGCATCCTGGGCACAAACTCCCGGTGGATGTCTGAAACACAGGAGCCGGCGTCACACGCAGGCCGGGACCATCCCTGCCTGCCTCCTCCCATTCTGGCCGGGCCCTGGGGGCGGGGCGCCCGGCGCCCATGCGTGGAGACCCTCCGTCAGGGGGCAGAAAGGGCAAAGTGGTGGATGTAGACTCAGACCTCCTTTGGGCTCTGCGGTCGCCATTGTGGTGGATGCACAGAGACCCCGGAGGTCTCTCCTGAGCGCTGGCCTCTGCCCACCAGGACCTGGGAGTTCTGAGCTTCCCAGAAGCCGGGTCCCTCTTTGTACAAAGTGGAAAGGGCACCTCCTTTTGAGTGCGCCCCTCTTGGCCGTGCTGCGGCCAGCTCCTCTGGGCCTGAGTGGCACGGGCTACGCCTGTGCAGGCTGGCTGTCCCGCCCTCCCAGCACACCTAGCTGAGAGCCCTCCGAGCCGTTGAGGGGCCGGGCCGGGGCGGGGCCGGGGCCGCTCTTCCCATCCTCCGCGTCGCTGTAGCGCCGGATCCAGTGGTTGAGCTCCTCGCGGTCAGCCTCCTGGCACCGGCGCAGCACGGTGAGCGACCGCCGCGTCTTCTCCACCATGTCCATGATGCAGTTCAGGAGCTGGGGTGGACGGCGAGACCGTCGGTAACTCAGAGACAGCCTGGCCAGGGGTGCACGGGGCCGGGGGGGGGAAGGGGGGGTGCGGCCCGGGGGCCTCCAGAGGGCGGGCCTGCTCACATGCTGGGAAGGCCGCCAGCAGCCAGGGCCCAAAGTTTGTTTGGATGCCCGGCGGGGCTCAGGCACCTGCGCCCTGGGATACCTCACCGGAGGGACCACACGGAAGGGGGTTGAGACCCGAGCCACCTGGCCCCTCCAGGATGTGGACAGCCGTCTGAGGGGGCAGCTTCTGGGAGGCCCACAAGGGTGCCACACACAGGACATTGGCTTTCCCCAAATGCCCTGCGTGACTTGTGCTCCACTCTGGAGCACCATGGAGCGGAAAGTGAGGCGGGAGGCTGGCCGGCCTGCAGGACCTGCCCCGACAGGTGGCTAGAAGGGCCCTGGGCAAGCTCAGACATGGGTGGTGAGCACAGAGAAGCCCAGACCCCGTGCTCTGTGCTGGGAGCCTCAGGCGCGTGGTCAGCGGCCCCAGGGGATGGGGGTGGCAGAGAAGCCCAGACCCCGTGCTCTGTGCTGGGAGCCTCAGGCACGTGGTCAGCGGCCCCGGGGCCTCAGGCGCGTGGTCAGCGGCCCCAGGGGATGGGGGTGGCAGAGAAGCCCAGACCCCGTGCTCTGTGCTGGGAGCCTCAGGCACGTGGTCAGCGGCCCCGGGGGCCTCAGGCGCGTGGTCAGCGGCCCCAGGGGATGGGGGTGGCAGAGAAGCCCAGACCCCGTGCTCTGTGCTGGGAGCCTCAGGCACGTGGTCAGTGGCCCCGGGGGACGGGGGTGGCTGTAACTCACATGGTTGAGGTGTTTCCACTCTTCTGCCCACTCCCGCTCGGTCAGCTTGTGGTCAATCACCTCTTCCTGCCGCGACCCGGGCACCACTGCAGGAGGGGTAGGCTCAGACTACCTCCGCTCAAAGCCCCCCACAGCTCTCAGACCCATCGCCCCCTCACAGTGCTCCCAAAGCCCTACCTCCACCCCTGCACCTGCTCCCATCCAGCCCAGCCCCAGCCCAGTCCAGCCCCCAGGCCCTGTGTGACATCCCAGCCACCTTGGGAAGACAAGGTGGACACAAGGTGGATGCTGACCCTTGGCGCGGAGCCCGGGGGCATCAGGCGCCGGCCCAGCCCTGGTCGCTCGCCCTCTGCCGATGGGGCTGCCCCTTCCCAGCCTCCTGGATCCAAAGCAAGCCTCTCCCCTTCCTGCCACTGTGTCCACACGCCGCTCCTCACTGGGGTCTCATCTCCACCCCGCGGCTGCCTGGCTCCCACGGGTGCTTCTGACTTTCTCTCTATAGCTGTGTCCACGCCTCCCTCGGGCCCAGGCAGCCCCCAGTCCTTAGAACTCCCAGCTCCTGTGTGTGTCTCTCAGTTGTCTTTTAGGTGCAAGCGCTTCCTTGACCATTCCAAATCCTCCTGGGGGCAGTGTGGGCTCCCCAGGGCAGGACGCCATGTCCCCAGGCTGGGCTGTGGCCGGGCACAGGCCGGATCTGCAGGCCTTCAGCAGGGCCAGCGGCAAGATGCTCCTCTCCCACGGGCCCTGGGGCTGCCTCCCTGCCTCCCGGGGATGAGCAGGTTTCCAAGCTCGCATGTAGGAAGCATGCAGAGTAGGAGGATGGAGCCGGAGCTGGGAGGTATGCAGCAGGGCTGCTCAGTACCCCTGTCCCCGCCCCCATTTCACAGACAGAAAACTCATCTGGCAAAGGAGCTGTGTTTGCCCAGATATCGCACAGGGAGAGGCCTGCAGCTGGCCAGACTGGCACTGTGCCCCTGGCACTGGCCAGTGAGATTCAGGGACAGGGGAGGGCCCCCAGGACGTCGCTGAGACCCGAGAGGCCTTATCTGGCCGTGCATGAGGCTGTTCCTGTGATTGTCCTGAAGAGTCAGAGCTCCAGGCCCCCACCGTGGTTTGGGGCTTGGGCCCGTGACCCAGCGTTAACTGTGCTTTTGGGGCAAAGGCCTCAACTCTAAGCTGCCTTTGGTCCCTAGAGATCTCCCTGCCTGGAGTGTTGCCCTCAAGTTGTGGTGGTGTGGGGAGGCGGTGGCCGCAGCGGCTGTCCGCCCTCTCCCTGGATGCCCGCAGGGCAGCCTGCACCAACGCCCCAACCAAAATAGCGCTGAGCTGGGCCCGACAGCTGGCGTTTATTTTTGCATTAGCAGAAGCGGGTGGGAATTAGCACCTGCCTGACCCAGCCTGGGAGCCAGACGCCCGTCACCTGCTGAGGGGACCCTGGCTGGCTCTGGACACTGCGGCAGATGGGGGAGGAGGCTTTGTCCAGGAGGAGGCCTCCAATGACCCTGCTCTGGGGCCTCCTGGGGTCCTGGCTCCGCTCCCAAGGCACCTCCCTGCACACTACGGGGTAGACCTGGCGGGTAGCTGGGCTGATCATCTCTGGCTTCAGCACAGAGGAAGGTCTGGCGGGGTGGATCATGGGGGGGTGGGTCTGGGGAGGGCGGGGCGGTGTTACTTGTATCTTTGGGCCTCAGTGTCCCCACTGGGGTGTGGATTGGGATAAAGGACAGAACACAACCTCTGAGCCTGCTCCACAACAGCTGCCGGGCCTTCGAGCCTGACGCCCAGCAGGGCCTTGCGCGAACGCCCCAGGCCCTGCGAGATCCCTGCCTCACCCAAGCCACAGGAAACCGAGACGCGCCAGTGGCTGCTCAGGGGCTTCAGGCCCGGGGGAGCTGTGGACACTGGCCCAGACGGTGCCCCTATGAGGAGAAATCCTCACGGCAGGAGGCAGGCTGTCCCCAGAGAAGGCCCGGGTCGCATCAGCGTTTAGGCCCTACAGCTGCTGGTGGCGGTCTCACGGGAGCACTCAGGCTGCCCGCACGCCAGCTGCGTGGTCACAGGCACACTTGCTCTGGGTAGGGCTTGCATCCACGGCCTGCCCCGGCACACTGCTTACCGGGCGGCCGATGGCGCTCCCGCAGCTCCCGGGGGTCGGGGGGTCGGTAGGCGTCGCGGAAGTGGTGGGCCATGGCCATGTCCTCCAGGCGGTAGTGGGGCGGTGGGGTGGGGTGGGGCAGCCCGCTGCTAGGGCTACAGCGCTGGGCGGGGCTCTGCGTGCAGGCCCGCTTGCTGAGGTGGTCGGGGTGTAGCGGGTCACGGTCTGACCCGTTCTCTTTGGTCCTGGCAGGGAGAACAGGTAGGGGACCATGTATGGATCACCAGCTGTGGTAAGAGGCTTAGGCACTGGGGGTGTGGCAAGAGAGGGGCAGGGATATGGAAATGGGCGTGGGACCAGCCCGGCCCTACTGGGGCCTGCCCAGCCTCTGCCCTGTCCCTGGAGGTGCGATGGGGTGATGCTCCTGGGGACCCCAAGTCCAGCAGCTTGCCCTCCTGGCAGGGGTGTGCGGAGGGAATGATGCAGGCACTGCGGTATTGGATGTGGCCCCCTCAGTCCGCACAGGACAGCAGCCCAGGTACCCGGGGCCCTGGACTCAGGAGGTCGCTTGAGGCCTGTGGTCCAACACAGGAGAACCACTAGGAAGTGCCTTCCCGTGAGTGGACGCTCCTGAGTCTCTGTCTTCCTGGGGCTCCCGGGGCCATCTGAGTGTGCAGCCCGACAAGGCAGCTAATCCTGGGGCCTTGCAGGAGACGCGGAGGCCATGAGCCCATTAGTCCACTAGCTTGGCCCTTCAGGGGTCAGCAGGGCTGATGAACACTGTTGGACTTTGCTGCAGATGGGCTGGGCTGCCCTGTGGAGCTGTGGCTGGCAGCCGAGCACGAGGGACAGCCGTCCCCGAGCACAGACACAGGGAAACCCTGGATGGTACCGGGCAGGCGAGTGTGCGGGCATAAACCTGGGCTCAGGCGTGGTGAGGCTGGGCAGCCCCCCCTCTTTGGGCTCAGGCGTGGTGAGGCCGGGCAGCCCCCCTCTTTGGGCTCAGGTGCGGTGAGGCCGGGCAGCCCCCCCTCTCCCTGGGCGCAGGCGTGGTGAGGCCGGGCAGCCCCCCTCTCCCTGGGCGCAGGCGTGGTGAGGCCGGGCAGCCCCCCCTCTCCCTGGGCGCAGGCGTGGTGAGGCCGGGCAGCCCCCCTCTCCCTGGGCTCAGGCGTGGTGAGGCCGGGCAGCCCCCCCCTCCCTGGGCTCAGGCGCGGTGAGGCCGGGCAGCCCCCCCTCTCCCTGGGCGCAGGTGCGGTGAGGCCGGGCAGCCCCCCCTCCCTGGGCGCAGGTGCGGGGAAGCAG